CAAAATCACAATGATCGATCATTAGCCACCCCTTGAACAGGAATGCATGATAATTGGCCAAGAGCCTCCATAGCGCCCCCTAGAAATTTTAAAACATCAGCCCCAGGCCATTTTTTTACCCGATAATTCTGAAACTTGGTGAACATCTGTATCTTCTCAGGACCTATGAAAAAGTCTCTTGGAACCCTGTTCCAAAGTCAACAGGAAGTCGACCATTTTGGGTCAAAGGTTCAATTTTGTGCGTTTCTAATGGCACATTTAAAAAACTCCTACTAGGCATTTTGAGCGATTACCTTCAAACTTGGTTAATGTGCCCTTAACACATTGGGGAATAAAAGTTAGCAAAAGCTTTCATTCTCCTTTATGTTAAAGGGGCGTGGCCAGGCCTCAAAGTTGCGCTTCACGTCATAAATTTTAAAACACTATAACTTTCACATTGAAAAACCGAAAAGCACCAAACTTGGCATGACTCATCCCTGTTGGATGCCCGACGATCCACTTTGGTCATATTTTGACGTGATCAAAGCCCCGCCCCCTTAGAACAGGAATTTTTTTTAAATTGGAATACTCCCTATTTGACACCATTGACCTAATCAGGATGATCCTGTGTTAGAAGACAGATGAGATGGTCTGACTTGATTTAAAGTGCAAACCGTTTTAGGTGGAGGATGTGGGCGTGGCCAATCAAGAAGTGACGCCGTTGCACTACGTTTGGCTCTAAAATACACAGATTTGAGCCGAGGTGTACCAAAATCAATATGATCGATCGTTATCCACCCCTTGAACAGCTACCCATGATAAGTGGCCAATAGGCTCCATAGCGCCACCTACATTCTTCCTACAGTTATAGCTCAGTGATACAACATCCGATCTGAACCAGATTTTTGGTGCGTCATTAGTGAGCATTTCTAGACACATTAGTATTGCTGTTTAATATTTGACTCCAGTGCGCCCCCTACATTATTCAAACTGTTATATCTCAGTGATATATCATCCCATCTGCACCAGATTTTTGGTGTGTCTTTAGTAAGCACTTATGGACACATTAGTAATTTTTTTAAACTTTTGACTCTAGAGCGCCCCCTACATCATTCTAACAGTTATATCTCAATGATACATTATCCAATCTGAACCAGATTTTTTGTACATAATCAGTGAGCAAGTCTAAACACATTGATAATGTGCTTTAACATTGGACTATTATTATTATTGTTGACATTATTATTATTGTTTACATTATTATTGTTATAATTGCTGGCATCATTATTATTGTTGTTTTCATTATTATTGTTGTTGACATTAATTATTATTGTTGGCATTATTATCATTGTTTACATTATTATTGTTATTGTCATTATTATTATTGTTGTTTTCATTATTATTGTTGTTGACATTAATTATTAATTATTATTGTTGTTGACATTATTATTATTGACATTATTATTGTTGACATTATTATTATTGTTGACATTATTATTATTATTTACATTATTATTATGGTTGACATTATTATTGTTGTTGACAATATTATAATTGACATTATTATTATTGATATTATTATTGTTGTTGACATTATTATTATTGTTGACATTATTACTATTGTTGACATTATTATAATAATTGTTGACATTATTATTGTTAACATTATTGTTGTTGACATTATTATAATTGTTGACATTATTATAATAATTGTTGACATTATTATAATAATTGTTGACATTATTATTGTTAACATTATTGTTGTTGACATTATTATAATTGTTGACATTATTATAATAATTGTTGACATTATTATTGTTGCTGACATTATTATAATTGTTGACATTATTATTGTTGTTGTTGACATTAATATTGTTGACATTATTATTGTTGTCGGCATTATTATTTTTTGTTGACATTATTGTTGTTGTTGACATTATTATTGTTGTTATTATTGTTGTTGACATTATT